AGGAATCGTCCGATCTACGTTTCTATACTATAAAAGGGGCGATCTACATTGCCCATTTTTGGTAATGTGCCCGACTGTAATAGCAAAGATCCCATTATATGTGCATCATCTAATCGTCGGGAGCGTAGCGACGGACACTCAATTTTTATGTATGTAATGATACAAAAATTGCATTTTTGATACATGTCGATAAAAATAGTTACTTTTTTGATGATATGCATAAAAGTTATGCGCATCAAGAACATAATTTGGAAATTTTTTGTCTGTCCGCACGCGTGTATATATTTATACTTTAGTGTAACAAAAAACATGCATATTCACGAGTTGATGCAAAATGATCGTTGTCATGTATGGGCACGGTCAGTTAACCGTTTTATACTGTTAGCTGTATCTTGTGATCCAGTGATCCAAATCGGATGATTTTGGTACCATTCGATTCGCCTCAATGTGACGAATCAAGTGGTACCAAAATCATCCGATTTGGAACACTGGATCACAAGATACCGATACAGCCAACAGTCGTAAAACAGTTAATCGAAAATGACCGACCGTAACCATTCCTACTCCGGACACAATACACGCATTAATCCGTTATTTTTAGAAAGTGGGAAATATACATAGGCATGAATACACATTTTTTTACACTATATATGAGTGTCACTAAAAGAAAATCCGAAAATTTAAATATGACTTATATTTAAATTTTCGGGTTGTCTTTTAGCAACACTCATATCTAAATGCACTAAATCACGTGCAGATGCAAGTTGAAATCCCAAGTCTGGACTTTTCACATCCTTACACATGTGCATATATATAACTACTAGTTACATATTGCGCTACAGTTAGTGATAGGCAATCTACAGTTTTTCTAAAAATCCCGCACGATATGCGTGTGATCCGCGCGTGATTCTCGGGATAGGTATTTTCGCATGTTCCAGAATTTACGGAAAAGGGTCAAATTTTACTCGAAATCAGACCGCAGTCGGATTTTTGCCACTGGCCCGAATTATACAATATATCCCACGCAGGATCTAAAAAATTCCGCGCATCCCGCGCATCCCGCGTGGGATCACGCGCGTTGTCCATCACTAGCTACATTACTTTATATACTCAATGTTGCTATTGAAGGAGATTCAATTGAAGAAAATTCACTTTTTATGTATGTAAATTTCATTAGTGTGATTAAAAGTTATGATCAATTAGAGTTTATTTTATATTGCTATCTTATTATCTATAACAATAAGTTATGGACGAGGTTTTACGGCGGTGGGCAATATGAATTTCGATCTAAATTTTCGGGGCTTTCGGCTTAGGTTCAGTATAATAAATTTACCGAAAAAGGTTGATGTGCCATAATAATTATTAGCATATGCAGCATTTCTTGACATATAAAGTTTTAATAACCATATTAATATAATAACCTTAATAACTTTTCTTGGGATATACGTAATATAAACCTTTTATATTAACATAATATCTTATAACGTAATTTATATATATGGTTGATGTGCCATAATAATTATTAGCATATGCAGCATTTCTTGACATATAAAGTTTTAATAACCATATTATTATAATAACCTTAATAACTTTTCTTGGGATATACGTAATATAAACCTTTTATATTAACATAATATCTTATAACGTAATTTATATATATGGTTGATGTGCCATAATAATTATTAGCATATGCAGCATTTCTTGACATATAAAGTTTTAATAACCATATTATTATAATAACCTTAATAAGTTTTCGTGGGATATACGTAATATAAACCTTTTATATTAACATAATATCTTATAACGTAATTTATATATATTAATCTAATTGTTTCCTTATTCGACTCATTTACCTCTTTCTGTTAATTATATTTATTAATTGCCTTCGTTGGTTAAAAAATTTTTAACTGAAAAAATAGATATGTTTGTAATTTTAATAAAATATCCTTTGGTAAAAAATAAATTTTCACAACTGCTTGGTTTTAAGTCAATTATCATGGTTTCCATTTTACTCTTTATCTTAGAGACATTAATCACTACTGTTACCGCTCAGCAACTATGCGTACCGTATACATCTTCATTTACTTTTACATCTGGGTATCCAGCAATTTGGACAACGCCTACAAGTGATGTTTTTAATACACAAGAGTTTCAGCAGGTTAACAGTTCCATTGATTGGTCAAAAGTGCCTAATATTAAACCTCATACCTTGGTCAATGGGGTTGTAGATAAGACCGGTTATTCTGCTAGTGACCCAGATTGTTGGTGGTCATATAATCAGTGCACATCACCCAAAGCACCAGGGCTGCAACCCGATGTCGTCCTTTGTCCTGAGCCTGGTGAGAACTTAGTATTAATGCGTTAAAAATTTATTGTATTACCATATCGGATTGACCATATGTTTGCTACTAATATTCGACTATTCATTCTAAAGGTACTTTGGGCTTAACATACGATGATGGTCCAAACTGCTCTCACACTGTGTTTTACGACTTTCTTAAGGAAAAAAATCAGAAAGCGACTATGTTTTTTATTGGATCAAATGTTGCTGCATTTCCCTACGAAGCTAAGCGTGCTCTCACGGATGGTCATCAAGTTTGTGTTCATACGTGGTCTCATCAACCTATGACTACACTTACCAACGATGAAGCGCTTGCAGAATTGTACTACTCTAGGAAGACTATTAAATATGTTATGGGCGTAACGCCTCTTTACTGGCGTCCTGTAAACATTACTTTCATAGTATAAAATGGTTAATTAAGGGCAGTATAGAATGGTTAATAAAGAACTAGACTTACACCTTTTGCTTTACTTTCTTCGTTGACAGCCTTTTGGTGACGTTGATGATCGAATTCGTGCGATTGCTCAACAACTCAATTTGGCAACTATTATCTGGAATCTTGGTAAGTGAATGTCCGAATGCTATACGATGTAAAATTTGTTCAAATCTAACCTCAATTATATCGTTTACAGATTCTAATGATTGGAATATGGTACCTGCAGGCATCGAACAGCCGGCACAAATTGATGATATTTTCCAAGGCCTTGTCGATCTGGGTAAAAATGGAACTTTCGCTAATTCTGGCGCAATTGTTCTGCAGCATGAACTAAACAATGGCACTATGTCCAAGGCTATTGAATGGTATCCAAAGATCAAAAGTGCCTATAAACATGTTGTTCCCATCGCCTCATGTATGAATGTTACTCGGCCATATGCTGAATCAAACTACACCTACCCATCATTTGCTGAATACATTAGCAAAAATTCATCATCCACCTTAAAAGCAAGTTATATCAGCTTAATTTTCGGGGTGATCGCCATATTCATAGCACAGTTATTTAGTATTTCAATCTTTTAGACATTTTTTAATATTTGTGTCACAGACATTTATAGAATACTACTATTCAGTACGTCCTTACTGACATGCTTTAATATTTATAAAATGGTCGATATCATAATGGGTAGATAAAATTATAGGTTCAATAAGTTTAAATAGATTCATAGTTATTATTTGTATGCATGAACTAAATTAAACAAATGAAATAAGTAAATTTTTATTAATTGTATACGAAAATTCACGATCAAAATTGTCAAAAATGAAATTATTTAAAAATAAATCCTTATAATTTGATGAATTAAATTAAATAATTAGAATAATTTATTTATCAATTTTTTAAAAAATTCTTATGATCCTGAATTACAATTCTTCAACAAAATTTTCTAAAAAATATAACTATAATTACTTTTCGAAGGCTTTAATCGATAACTTTAATCTGTTGAAAATTAAGAATATGAAAATTAAAAAGTCTAGAGATAGAAATGCAACCTTTAATTTTTTATTTTATTTATCAAATTGTAAATAGAATTTAACTACAAATAACCGGCGGTGATCATCACCGGTGTGTAATTAGCCAATAATGATAAAACAAAAAAATTTCATTTCATTTACTTTAGGGTTAGGGCGATGCCTGGGATTTTAGTGAGGTGTTAAATATATGCAAAATTTAGCAAGGAATTTTTTGCTAGAATGTCAAAGGAGTTTCATAGACAAATTCTTGAGATATTAACATTTTTTTAAAAAATCTTTATTTTTGTTACACAAACTGATTTGCACATTACACCTGATCCTGCAAATTTATTGGCTAATTACACACCAGTGATGATCGCTGTTGGTTATAGTTAGTAAAATTTATATCATGATGATCACTGCTGGTTATAGTTAGTAAAATTCTTTTTGATAATTCTAATATTACTGAAATTAATTCTAAATTTTTAATAACTGTATTTTAAATAGTTATTATAATTAAAAATTATATATTAATTAGAAATATATTATTTTTTAATAATATTATATGGGTGTTGGTATTTATACCCCACTTGGTATTTGTACCCCAAATTTTACAAAAGTGCTTTAAAAAGATAATCTTAATAAATAAACCTTTTTTGGGTCTAATTAAAGTTGTTTTTTAGGTTTTTCTGGTTTTAATAGTAGTAAAATTATTAAAATTTGATAAGTAATTCTCTTTTTATTTGTATTTAAAGTTTGCAATTTTTAATTTATCTTTTAAAGAGAACTATTTAACTAAATTTAATGATTTTACTACTGTTAGAACCAGAAAAGCCTAAAATAACTTTAATTAGATTCAAAAAGAAGGTTTACTTATTAAAATTATTTTTTTTAAAACACTTTCTAAAATTTGAAGGTGCAAATACCAAAAGTAGGGTTTATTTTGATTGGTTATTATAATATCTCAGAAAAAATATAGATTATACCCAGATAAATTATTAGCTATACTCAGATAAAGTTTATTATTATGAACTTTTAATACTCTCTAAAGATACTTTTATAGTATATTAAATTTAGTATATTAATTTAATTTAATAATACTGTTTTAATTCAAATTTTACAATATATTTATCTATATTATTTATTTTATGATAGATATATCATTTTACAAAAAATACTTTAATTTTTGCAATATATCTATTATATATACTTGAACAATTCTAAATACTACTCACAGATTAAATATATGAATAATAGAATATATCTATATAGTTTTTTTTTTTTTTTTTAAGAGTGTAGCCTAGTCTCAGTCTTTATTAAATAATTATATATTACATTATTTAAGTAAATTATATGAATTATTACAGAGATCTATAGCTAGAACTAGTTCTATTATTTTGCTATATGCATAAAAGAGCAATATAGAAGAACCAATAATAGTAAACTAACAGATATTGATATTTTAGTAAAATAAAATATAAATATCAGTTATATAATAATATACCTTTGTTTTATATTATTATTTTGATAGAGTGTGATGACTTAGTGAAGTAGTTAAGTTGTTGCACCCTCAAGTGAGATGTTGGCTAGGTAGGGGGTTCGAAATCTACTAGTGATAAATTTTAAAAAAATTCTACCTATACGATATTACTGCTATCTAATTAATAGTTAGAACGAGATCTCTGTAACCTTGGTAGCATCAACAGGATTAGAAGATTATGGGGCATTTGTGTGATGTATGAGTTATACGAATAAGCTTCCAGATCATTGTAAATCTAGAAAACCAGGAAGGATAATAGAATATGCTTGGCAAGACCCGAGTAAAGAGGTAGCACAGATCTTTGACAGTACTACTTAAAGGATTGTTACTGAGAGAACTGGCAAAACTGAACAGAACTGAAGTATTTGGCAAGGCACTCTACAACTAGACCACTAGAAGAGTAACCAGAGAAAAAGAACCTAACTGTAGAGACCAGGAGCAGGTCACAGCCCTTCCGGGCTATTTGAATTGGTAGTTTGAAATTGTTGAGATTAATCAGTGATAGTTTGTAAAGTATATACTGGGGTTTGGGTGAACTCTACAAGGGCAGAAGTAGATAATGGTAGTGGTCTCAGCTCGCAAGTACTTATCCTTGGACTCAGTGTAAGTTACCAAAGTCTAGGTTAGCCAGATTGTAGGTATGAAAAACTCTAGCAGGTTTACTTTAAGGACAAAGGGCTTCTAATGGAGGTAGCCTGTCTTGAAGTTCTAAGCAGGTGTCTGAAAATAAAGTGTCCAAACTGGATTCGTGTTTAGTTAAATAGGTTAACCTCATAGGTGCAGAAGGTTTAAATAGGTAACCCCTAGTCAGGTTGCAGGTATGATATCTAGTGTAGAACTTGATAATAAGCAGACTACTTAAATAGACAACCAAAAGTTGTATTTATAACTAGTATATACCTTCCAAATATATATGGTACAGGCTTTCTGAAAGGCAGCTTATTGTTTTTTTTTTGATATTAAAGTGAGGCCTTGCTCATATCTTTATTAATAGTTTTTGTCATAGTAACTACAAAGATGCTAACCTTAATATATAAAATATAAAAAATAAAAACTACATTGCAAGAATAAAAGCTTGGACTATTTTATCCATGACCTAAACCTACTAGAGTAGTCAAAGACTCACCTAGATTTTTTTAAGAAAGAAAAAAAATAAAATATAAAGTAAATAGAGTATTTAATTGAATGAATTTAAAAGTAAAGCTAAATTATAAGATTGTATGTTTAATAGTATAAAGTTATAGAATATGAAGAGAAATACTAGACTATATATAGTATGTAAAGTTATAAGATATATAGAAGATGAAAAATATATAAAGTTATATAGTTAAAGTATTAAAGTATAGAATATAAAGTAAGTTTTAAATTAGAAAGAGGCTTTCATCAATGTTAGGAATTGTAAATTTCATAGTAGGTTTGTTAGAATGATGTTGTTGCTATTTGTTAGTTTTAGAATTTTTAGATTTTGTTGTTGAACTGATCGATTGTTGTTGTTGTTGATATACTTGTTGTTATTTAGGTTGTTGTAGTGGTTGTCATTGTTGAGTATTAGAATTTGTGCCTGTTTTAGATTTTGTAGAAGGGCTGATCAGTTGTTGTTGTTTTTGTTGTTGTTGTTGTTGAGTATTGGAATTGGTAATAAAGTCTGAATATGATATAGTAGGAATAGAGATCTTAAACTTTTTGATTATATATTGATTTGCTTGGTCAAGATATGTTTTCTTGAGATTTCTTTTAAAGTTTGCAATAGTTGGTTTAGAAATTTGAGTAATATCGTAGTAGGCAATAACTCTGGCTAAAATTTGTGATCCGTAGTTGTTAAAGATAATTTGTTAAGAGCTTCCTTAAGATTAAGATCAGTAATTTGATCATTGGTTATAGCTATTTTTAAATATTTTTTAAAATAACTGTAGAAGAAGAAAGAAATCCGTTTAGAGCTTTGGATTTAGAATCTGGCTCAGAAAGTTTAGAGCTTTGAGTTGTAGAATTTGATTCAAAGAGTTTTGACTTTTTGGATTCAATAAGTTTTTGGTTAAGTGTAATAAATTTTTGTTCTGCTTGGTTGGCAAGTTAGTAGAGGTCTTTAAAAGAAAAGATAGTAGAAAAAGTAGCAGTATAAGATTGGTTAGATAAAAAGATAGAGTTATCAATAGTTGGATAAATGTATTTAGAAGCAGGTAAAGTTTGAAAAGAAAGTTTGAAAAAGTGAGTAGTTAAATTGCGAAGATTGTGTATAGTATTTGATATAAGAATTGTGCATTTGGTAGAGTCTATACATGTATGTATATGGTGTAATACAGTTTTGATAGTGGTATTTGTACGATTATGGATAGATGAAATGGTAGAGGAGTAAATTTCCTTAGAAATGAGTTTTCTGTATTCATTGTTTATTGTTATAACTATTTGAAATTTGATATAATTATAGACTTTTTGTTTGTTGATAGTGTTAAATTGTTTTTTGTAATGTTCGAAAAATTTTTGAAACCACTTATTAAATTCTATTGAGTATGAGAAAAAAAAAGGAATGCGGTAAGTCGTTAAGAATTTTTGTACGTATATGTTTATAGAAATATTAATATGAAATTTAGGGGTATTGTGGATTTGTAATATAGATATATTCATATCTGTATCTTGAAATTGGTTAATATGGAAGAAGATTTGTAAATATATTGGTTTAAGTTTTAAATCTTGAAAAAATTTTTGGTGATCAATAGTTTGATATCAGTTAATAAGAAAAAGGTTAAGTCTGCCAAATTAATAATAATTTAAAATCATTTCTTAATAGAGTAAAGAGAAATAAAAAGATAGAAGTTAAATATTTTTGGATAGTTGGAGTGTTTAAAAAGAATAGTAGTAATCACTAAGAGTGATTTTTTAAAAGTTTCAAGAATAATTTCAAAAGGAATATCTATAGATTCAGTAACTTGAGGGTTTTGGTTTCGAATAAAGTCCATGATAAATTTAGGTTTTTAAAGAGCTATTGTATGAATTAGAAGGTCAAAGTTATTCTTAAGAGCTGGTTTGTTATCTG